GATGCATGCGGCTCTCTAGAAATGTAATCTATGCGGATCAGGAGAGGATGGGATGCTGCTCCCTTGGATTCCTTGTTTTTCTTGCAGTTATTTACTTGAATGTGATTTGTTTAGAGAGCTCCCTCCACCTGCAACTGCTCTCATGAGCGCTCGGCAAGGGAAGAAGAGTTGAGTCAATACTGCAACTGTTATGGTCAAAGAAAACTTAAATATTCCTGGGAGCAGAACAGGAGAGAAGGATGTGGGGAAAATCATCAGATAGGTAGTAAAGTCTTTAAGTTGCAGTGAGGCACTGTGTCCTTGAAAGTCCTGCTTCCTGTGCAGACTATGGTGATTTAGACCTGTCATGAAACTTAGAGGTGGAAAGAGCAGTCAGCCTGTGGCTACTTATCTTCTGAAAACCCCCAAAAGATGGGGGGGAAAGCTAAGGAGGTCAGTAGCTCTGTAAATGACTGTATAATTGTGTTGCAGGGAGGCAGGAGAGAGTAGGCTTGTTGTGTCTCGAACTTGAAATATGGCTGCATCTTTCATAAATCGTCACCTTGCTTTCAAATCTGGTAATAGTTGGAGACCTTGGGTAGTATCAGGGTGGGCTGGAAAACTCAGCTGTATGAGGTGTTTGCTCAGGAAAGTTTTGAGGGAAAGACAGGTAGAACAGTAGATGTGAAGGGTTGTGCCCATGTGTGCACCCTTTGTCTGTTTGCTCTATCCAGGCTTCTACCATATCTACTTCTGTTGATATTTGATAGGTATTTTTCTCTCTTCTGTTTGGTTTTTTTTTCTCCCTCCTCAGGAAAGAATGTTTAAAATGATAGATAAATTGAGGAGGCCCTGTTTTGTAGCAGCTACTGTCTCTCCTTCTCTTCTCTTGCTGACCCCATAAATGTCATTTCCCTGCTTCAAGCTGGCTTCTGCTCTTGCTGTTTAGAGCCCAAGATTAAGTGTTCAGAATAGCATGAAGAGGCAAAACATGACAGCATGGCTTGCTTCTTACCCTCTATTAAAAAATAACTGGACAACAGCAAATCAGCTCCAGAAGTGTTTGTAGAGGGTGATGCCACCTGTCTCCCTTGGCTACAGCAGTTGCTATAATGAGATGGGATGTGGGGCCACTTCAGGGCTTGCCTTTGCAGAGGTAATGGGGGCATGAATGTGAGTTTGGAGGTTGGAGTTGGAAGTTCTTCTTGGTTCCCTTGCCAGCAACTGGAGCCAGGAAAGTGTCATCAGGTGCCATGCCCGGGCACAGCAAGGCAGCCCTGCTGGGGTTTGCTAGAACTGTATACGAGAGAAAGGCTTGTTGGAAACTTCTCTCCATTACCAAGTTGATTTTGGTATAAGTCCTGGCTATACTGCTTTGGCTGGATCTAGAAATGTGTTGGGAGGCACAAACTAAAATTCTTGTTTTGCTTACAGTGCTGTAACTTGTAAGTGCTCTGTGCTGAGATGGGCAGTTTCAGAACTACATCCTTATTTCAGAGCTGTGGTACACCATGACTCACCAGCCCTTCTGTGTGATGTCTACAAATCCATCACATGGGCTGCAGAGAGGAAGTGGAAAAAGCATTGCAGGGTGGGGGAACTCTTCAGTAACGGGAGGGGACAGTTTTTTCTAAGTCTGCTGGCATCAGCTTTCCCTTAGCAAGCCATGTAGACACTTCTCCCATCTTTAACGCATGGGGAATTTTCATCAGTTTGAATTTTTAATAATTGCTCTTGGTTGCTGTGGTTTTTTTTACTGCTACTTTCTTTTCCCTCTGCCTCTGAACTTGTCCATTCAGCACAAAATGGGTTAGTCCTCACCTTCACAGCTGACTTGTTCTTGCTGGAGCTTCTTGGCTGGAGAAGATGTAGCTGCAGCTCTCAGCGAGGCAGGAGAGGAGATGACTAAGGCAGGGCTGGCTGTGCAGGATACATTCCTTGTAAGAACTTTCCCTGTTGGTCCCAGCCAGGATAAACCTCACTGGCACTAAGCAGTTGCTGGGTCCCATTTCTGGAGCCCTACCTGCTGTTGGGCTGATGCTTTTCAGAGAATACTAGTGCAGGATCAACATGGTTGAAGCAAGTATGCCCAGTATATCCACTCTAATGTCATGCATCTGGGAGGCTAATTGATGAAATGGGGCTTTGGTGTCCCAGCTCCTTCAGCCCTGCCTGTTAGCCTGTGAGTACATGGGGTCTGGGCTCTTAATGAGAGAGGTGATCAACAGGGAGGAACAGTTTCTTTTCTGTCTTCTTTTTTTCTGTTGCTGCCATCGTATCACTTGGACTGACAACACTTTCAATCTTTTTTTTTTCTTTTTTTTTTTTTTTTCCGGCAGTGGCTCTCTACACTTCCATTTTTGGGGTATTGCAACTGCTGTGCTTGCTGACAGCGCCTGTGATCGGGTACATCATGGATTGGCGACTGAAAGAATGCGATGATGGCTCAGAAGAGAATGAGGAGAGCAGCGCTGAGCAGTGCGTAGTGTGCGCCACACGGGACACGCAGCCATGTAGCAGGCCCCCTCTGCTCTGCATGATGTGTTTTGTGATGAAAGACTGAAAAGAACATTGGTTCTTCAGTATAGAAAAGAAAGCCTGAAGGACGACTTGATAATTGCAAAGGAAAGGACCAAACTATCTTCCGTGTCCACTAAGATCAGTCAAGAAGAGCAAATTTAAATTGTAGCAGGGGCGGCTCAGACTTCCCTTCTAGCCTAACAGTAAGAGTAACAGCACTGAAATAATTGCCCAGATGTTCCTCAGCTCCCACTGATGGAGATCCCATCACCTCCTTAGGCAATCCTCTAGCCAAACTGGTTTAGATAGAGTTCATGTGATATGTGGAGAATCTTGCTGTGAGTTCCAGTAGCTGCTGAAAGTGCGTTTTGTAACACAGGTTTTGCTATCCTTCCAGAAGTGAGAAGAAAAAGAAAAAGCGTGATCGTCAGATCCAGAAAATCACCAATGCCACCAATGCCTTTGCATTCACAAATGTCCTGCTGGTTGGATTTGGAATCACCTGTCTTATTCCTAACCTACCGTTGCAGGTGAATAGGTGAAATGGATGGGTGCGCTGGAGGGGCCGGCAGCGTGGGTCCTGGCAAAATGACAGGCAGGACAGTGCCACAAAGTCCTGCAAGCCAGCAGAACCAGCTGGTGGCGGGAGGGTTTTCTGGCACTGCTGAGAGACTTCGGTACTGTTTTGGGAACCCTGCTCTTAATGTTGAAACAAATAATACCATGCATGTAGGTTCTCTTGAGAGAACCTACGGAAGCAGCTATAGTTAAAATGTGAGAGTTGGTCCATAATTTTTTCACACTTAGAAGTTTCTGCAGCTGAGCTGTGTAACAACAAATGCTTTCCTACTGAGATACACTCAGCAGTGCCTGTGCATTTAACCTGGGCTCAATTTAAGCTGCTGATGGTCAGAAAATTTGCTGTAAGAAGCCTAACACTGACACATACAGCAGGTTATTTCTGCATCAAATACTATGCCCAATGGCACCAGTGGGATTATAAACCTGTTAAAATATTTATTTTGTGGTACCACCTGTTTTTGGCAGAGGAGTTTAGTGATTTTTATGGTATATTTAAACATGCCCTGATGACGTAGGCAAACAGATACAGTTTGCTCATACTTGCGTATTGTCTGCAGTAACCTGTGGAAAATTAACTAAATTGGCCACAAGCACAATGAAAAAGCACTGTGACCCTGGCCACAGGTTGCTGGGAAAATATCCTTGCAGCAGTGCCATCTACAAATGAGATCAGTCTTGTGGGTGGTTAACCTCAGGGGGAACTATGTGTTAGCCTTTGCAAAGTAAGGAAAAGCAGTGCTTTTAGAGATGACTACAAATTTCTTCCCTTGTGCTGATCTTTCAGGTTTTAGTTCTGGGTTCCTCAAGCCCACCTTTGTACCAGAAAGGAGAACGGCTTTTAGGAATGGTTGTATTTTGGGGTCTGGCACACCTGGGTGGATCTAGGATGTGACATTTTTCTTCTTCTCTTTCCAGATTCTTTCCTTTATTTTGCACACAATTGTGAGAGGATTCATCCACTCAGCCGTGGGAGGCCTCTACGCAGCTGTGTAAGTCTCTGCTTACCTATAATATGTGGCTGGCCAGATAAACTGGTTTGGGATGATAAGCTGTCCCAGTGAGAGGGAGATCAGGAAGTGAAGTCTTCATGGTCAGAGGGGAAAAATGACGCAACTTGTTTCCTCAGTCACAACTGGGTATGACAGTAGCTGGACTGAAGTCCTAGCTGATGCTTTCCTTGTTTAGAAACAGCTAACCTCTTTGGCATAGCTACTGCAGTGAGACAGGCACAACTATATATGGGCCTCAGGTGAGACTAGGCTATCAACACTAAGGTTATATAGTAAAAACTCAAGGTTTCTTTTTGTCTTATATGAGTAGCTATGCGCATGTGTCCAGGTAAAACATTAACGTCATTGAATACATTGCTACTGGTCTGCTCTTAAGTTACACTGGTAAAGCATTGCTCAAGATACCATTAGTGATGCCTACTCCCTTTCCCAGGACACATCATCCATCCTGTTTCCAACTTGCCAAAATTGTCAATAGCTGAATCTAAGTACTCTCTTCCTTATTAAGCAATATTTTTGGTTTTGAAAACAGATCTGCTCCTCTGTCCTGAGCTGTTGGACAGAGGAACAGAAAGCAGATCTTACCTTTCAGATGACAACAGAATTGTTGAGTTCGGAAGGGACCTCTTAAGACCATCTAGTCCAACCCTCATGCTCAAGCAGGGTCAGCTAAAGCACGTTGCCCAGGGCTGCATCCAGTTGGGTTTTGAATATCTCCATAGATGGAGACTCCACAACTCCACAGATTCCTTCTGTCAAAGGTTTTGGTCCCAGTGTCTGGAGAATCCAGACTAGAAAAGCCATCTGAGACTCTGCTTCAAAAATGCATAAACTTTTGGTTCCCTGGCAGCTAGAAGCTAGAAGACTTTTGTCTTAGGCAAGGTAAATGCCTGTTGCTGTACATATCAGCTTGCTTGTAAACTAATCCTGTTTGACCATTGCAACTCTCTGGAACTACCTGGAGTGGGGTATTTTTGCTTTGAATGTGACTTTTTTTTTTTGTTTAATATTTGAAGGTTTTGATCCACTTCTTTCTTTCCAAGCTTAGTTTAACCTGACCCTTTTTAAACAGTGCTCAGTCATGGAAGGATGTTAGACTGTTCCTGAAATTTATTTTTCCATTAGTAGTATCTGCTATTCAGCACTTTCCAATCAACAGTATTGTTTAGTTTGACATAGGATCAGACTTGCCCTCTAAAAAGGAAAAAACATACTAACCTGTTGTACAGGTTTCACTCACCTCTAAAGGGAGCAACTTATTATGACCGGATGAAAATGATTGCTCAGCCACAAATGGTGTCATCTGGTTAAAGAGGCCCTGCTTTTAACTGGTAAATATCAACACTCCTCTCCCTTTGCAATAGGAACAGTAGTTGTATAAGCACTTCTACCTGCCTACAGTACGGCTGCAAAACAAGTGCTGGATCTGATACTACTTAAGTTTGAGAGCTCAGGATGAGAATAGTGTGGAGAAGAAGGCTCCAGCCTTGTCACCAGCCGCATTCTGTTCTAGAGAGCACTGTGCACACCATTTGGTATAACTAAATACTCTATAAAAAGAGGTACTTACATGTAAGTCCAGGAGAGAGAAGCTCTTCATATTATGCCTGTCTTGGGACTGTGCTCTGTTGTGTTAGTTGACGGGGAATGTAAACTGAGCTGGGTGATGTGAACAGTCAAGGTGACATATAATAAAGCTGTTGCTTTCTCTGTTGACAGATACCCCTCTACTCAGTTTGGCAGCTTGACAGGGTTGCAGTCGTTGATCAGTGCCCTCTTCGCCCTTCTGCAGCAGCCTCTTTTTATGGCATTGACAGGACCTTTGGAAGGAGACCCTCTCTGGGCAAGTTCTTCTCAAATTTGATGTGAAAGCTTGGTTGTTAAGATGACTTTTAGCTCATTTCTTTGAAAACCAAAGGACTCCTGTGCATGAACCAAGGTTAACAGCTGGAATTTTACACATCCCTCAGCCTGCTGTTACCTTGGTTCTGTCCAGGAGACCCTTCCCTGTGTGAGTAATGATTCCCTAGGAAGGAAAACCATTAACCCTTATGCTGGTGTATGGAAAGGGAGGAAGGGAGAAGGCTGCAGGAGTGCTTTCTGCTAACAGTTTGTGTGGCGAGTCAAAATCTGTCAGGTAAAAGTGAATGAACCTGTGTGGACCTCAAAATGCAGTAGAAATACCCTGTTCCCTTGAGAGTTACTAGCTCCAATTACCAGTAAATTTTGGGTTGCTGATGCTAATGTCCGAAAAGCCAAGTGGCTATTGAGGGTAGGGCTAACGTCGTGTCTTGATGAGAGTCTGTCTGGGCAGCTCAATAAAATCATGACATAGGTGGTCTTGGGGAGAGTCCTGGTCTCTGGGCTACATTTGCCCACCCCAGCAGCCTGATACTCTTCAGTCAGCAAACTTGGTGTAAAAGAACTGCAGCTTAAACAGCCCTGCCAGTTCTGCAGAACAAGATTCCCAATCTGCAGCCAAGATCCGGAGCAACAAACTCTTGCAGCCTTTAGCTTATACGCAGGGTGCTCTGGGCACAGGAGTGTAAATATAAATGCAGTGGAGGTTGTTGCCAATACACTGAGGAGGGCGTCTCCTGCTTTGCCCGCAGCTGAGTGGTGTGGGCTGGGTTCTGACACTTTGGCATTTGTGACTGGGTTGTCGTCTTCCTAGCCTGTCTAATTTTGTCTTTCTTTCTGTAGGTGAATGTTGGCTTGCTTGGCATGAGCTTGCTGGGTTTCTGCCTTCCAATCTACCTGGTCTGCTACAGACGCAGGCTAGAGAGAGAAAAAAAACAGAAGATGGATGATGCCAAACTCTTCTTCAAAATCAATGGCACTCCCAATGAGGAAGCCTTTGTTTAAACTGGTGCTTCAGATACAACCTCCCCTGTACAGGTTCCTGCCACATCCATGGGTTCTACCTGTGGTGTAAGCCAGGCTTTTTCTCTCCTGGCTCTGCCAGTCTTTGCTCATCATTGGAGCGAGGGCCGGACATCACGACTGAGCTTTCCTCAGATATACGGCAGGAGGAGGCTTCCCACTCCTTACTCCAGAACACGGGACACTTTTCCTTTTTATAAAGGCCACGCAGATATTGTGTCTTAAGTTATCCCCTGATCACACTCCCCAGTGGCAGAGTCTCTGCATAGGAAACTGGGGAGAGAAGGAATAGAGGGATGGGGGAAGAGGGAAGAAAGACCATAATTTGAGTTTGCAAATGTAACACACTGAAGGCTGTTTTCTCTTCCTCTTCCCCCAACCTTGGCTGACATTGTCTCAGATGCGAGCTGCACTCTCCTCCCTCCTTGAGGCTTCACGGTGGTCTTTCTGCTTGATTAGTAGCTGGACCCAGTGGTTTTACCGTCTATCCAGACATGCACTAGACTGTTTCTGAGGCAGGGAGGGGGATTTTATTCCTATTTATGTGAGCACAGCTTCAGTGTATTGCTAAATGTTGGCTGCTAGCACTGACAGCTCCCAAACTTTTTATTACTGCAAATGACACAGACTGTGAGCAATGGATCTGCCTTCCACACTGAAATGAAGAGCCTAGTGGACTGCTTGGTCCTAGACCAAGCCTTCAAAGGCCTGGAATTCCTCCTCTTCCTGGCCTACAAACCACCTGTATGTGTTTTAAATCGTCTGCAGTCCTGGAACTTTTGAGATAGGAATTGGATCTTGTTTACCGATGAAGTGCTTTGAGACTTGTTGCCTTTTGCCTCTTCTTCCCTCCAACATGACCCTGGGAGGGGAGCAGCAGTGTATATTTAGTAAAGTGGAGAAGCTTCCTGAAGCCGAGTTCTGGGGCTCCAAATACCTTGGTGTTCACATGTCATGAGCTGACTTGCTGTTGAAAAGAATCAAGAGAGCAGAACACTCCTTTGTGTCTGGTAACTGGATCCTGTGGACATACAGCAGGGTGATGTGGTGATGTAATTCCTCCTCTAGCCATAGCTTATTTACATTGTTCTGATAATAGTCCCCAAGCTGCTGAACACTGGGTTACCCTGACTGACCAAAAAGCTGCCAGTTTGGCTGTATTAAGGGCCTTCTACAATGTTGGTGCTCTGTCTGGACAGAGTACGTGGTGATTGATTGTATCGTGAACCTGCAATATGTGTGAGTAAAGGTGCCCCAGGCCTGTTCATGGAGGGGATACAAAGGGAATTTTTAACCTGCTTATTTTTATAGAGGTTTTCCTAAGTCTTGTCTAAAGTTGACTTTTCTGCCCTTGACCTTCTTGTTGAGGTCGGTAGCTCAGCCTGTGTAGCCTTGTGACTAGCATTAACCACTGCACCATTTGGACCTGCTCGGAGCAGGATTGTGCAGCGTTGAGGATGAACATCACCAGCGGGTGTGCGGCCACATACGTACTGGGCTGAGCTTGTGGCTGCGGGAAGATTGGGGGCAGAAATAAAACAGTTATGAAGATGTGGTGGTGGTGCTTTCTGAAGTGCCAACTCCTGCATTACTGCAGCACCTGGCAGGGAGGGGGTAAGTCCTTCAACTTCTTTATGTCTGGTTGGAAAAGTACAAGACTCAAATCACTGCCCGGTTAGGTCTAAGCTGGGGATTAGAAACAACAGTGCACTCGGACCTTCGTTTGAGAAATTACCTGGAAACTGGGTGTTAACTCCTTTACGGATGGTTTGAAGCGTACAGATGCTCAGCCCAGCCAGGCCTTCACCTCTCCTAAAGAGCAAGCTTGCTGCCCTCTCGTCCAGAGCCTCGGCAGGAGGGCTGGAAGCCCTGCGGGATCCCTCTCCGGTGGCCCGGGCAGCAGCGGATGGCGAGGCAGCTTCGTGGGAGGGCAGCGCCATCTCGAGTCCCTGCCTTCAGCCAGCCTCCTGCGGGCACCTCGGATGCTGCGCCACTCCATGGTACCTTTCAGTCCTCAGTCGCTCATTTGGAAATGACTTGCCACTTGAGTATTTTACACATTTGTGAATTATTTTTTTTTAATATGTTGCCTTCATTAAATGTGTTTGTTCCGAGACAGCCTTATTACCTGCTGTTGACACTTTATTCTTTTAGAACTTTTTGTCATTTGTTGGCCTCTAGCTTCGGTGATTTAGCGACCTTCCCTGCTTTTCTTTCTTTTGTGTTGAGCAATAATTAAGGGGGCAGAGTTTTGATTCATTTTCCTGTTCACCTAGCATTGTCTCAAGTACATGTACCAGCAGTAGTACAGCTTGCCTGTTCCAGAGGGCTTTCTGCAGATTTCTACATTTCGTATTACTATACTTTCTCCTAAATATTTTGAGAAGATTCCTACTCTTGCTCCAAGATATTTGTGACATGACAATGAGAGATTAAGTATCTTTTTTTTCAGTAAGAGCTCAGACAGGTGAGTGTCTGAGCAACAGTCCTCAGACTCAGTGTCTTAAAATAGAGACAGCAGTTGGAGGGTGTCAGTGTGCTCACTCAGTATTACTTCCACCCCAGTTTCAGAACATTGAACATGATAGCTTCCACTCTTACGTCACTCGAATTCCTGATATAAATGTCTTTGCAAAATGGTGGAATACAGAGTGGCATATTTTCATAAAGTTGCAGTGGAGATGCTGCTGCCTTTGAAGTTATATGCAGCTAAATTAAAAAAAGATCACCCTTTTATTCCTGACGTCTATTTCCCTAGTGCAGTTCCCAGTTCCTGCCCTTTATTAGGAGCATCCTCTTAACCCAGTTTCATCTGATGAAATGGTGGATATATGTGGTGGGTGTCTCTGCTGATGTGCCATGGTGTTTAGAAGCTGCTGGTCAGCTGTGAGAAGTAGAGCTCCTGCCTTTGAGTCACAGTTTTGGGCTCTGTTTGCAGATTGAGAGTAAAGCGTGCCTTTGGCTTGCAGTCACCAGGACTAGTGGGTACACAACGAAGTTGTAGTTGTTCAGGGTGGAACAGACAAAGGGGAGTGCTTTCTCACGCAGCACAAAGTCAAGCTCTGGAATTCATTGCTGCAGAACGTAGTAGGGAACACAAGTATAAATGTTTTTAAAAAGGGGCTGGTTAAACAACGGTCTGATGCATCTACTAACTCAGGGAGATTTTAAGCTGCTGTAAATAACAAAGTTATGCCAAGGAAAGATTACTTTTTTACATGCTCTGTCTCTTAAGAATTGGTCGAAGATGGAGAAAATACATGCTGGGCTGGGTGAAACACTGGTCTGATCTGGTGGGGGGTAATTTACTCTGACAGTTGCAAACCAAACTAATTTGAAAAGCAGTCTCAAATTGATCAAAAAAACTGTATCTGCATGCAAGATGCACAAACAACTCTACTGATGGTGGCATAACTACTTACATGCTGTACCTTCTGCAGGGGTGGGCCCCTCTGAGGACAGTGGTCGGGCTTCAGCCTCTTCTAAATGTTGTCTTGCGCGGTGCAGAGACGAACACTGTTAGGATGGTCCTGTTACACATGATTGTTCATGGACAGTTTGCCTCGTTCTTTGATGCTTATGGAAAAGTAATTGTGGATTCCTTAACGTTTGGAGTAGAAAACAGGATTGCTGCTTTCTAGCCAAGGGATGCAGGACCAAGGAAATTCCTGATGCACTCTTCTACGTGCATGTGCCACCTTGTGGAAAAAATTAATGGGCTACCAAAGACTGGAGAGCCACTTCAATTTAAATCAATAATGCATTTACCTGTATAACTCAAATATAGGTTAATGTGTTTAACTACCTTCATAATTCCTAAACGCTAGAAATTGTAGGGGTTTTTTATGCCCCTTGTACCCCCTTACCATCATCCACATGACAAGCGCAAGGAGGGCGGTCAGGGGAAAGACCTCATCTCCTGCACAGAAGCATCCCCAATCGAATGTAATGAAGCACAAACCTGATCTGTGAGTACTTGCTGTTTGTAGGAGCCCTCAGTCAAGGGTGTTGCTGTGTAAAGGTGATGGCACCTTCTGGAAACACTGCTCCTGGCCTCTATAGACCCTCATGCATTTAATATGCATCTGTATTAAAAAATATATGTATAAAAATTAACAGAGTGCGGAAAGGAGGGTGACAGCTTATTCCTTTCACTTATCTGTCAGTACCTAAGCCCAATTGACACAGTCTTTATAGCACTAATGCAATGATGCTATCAAGAGCAGCAAAGAAAATCTGTGCTGTTTTGCTTAATAGGACAATTACAACTTTATTAAATTACTGTCATAGAGTATCTAGATCCTTGAGATGAAACTGGACACAGATGTCTGGGGAAAAAAAAAAAAAAAAGGCAAATCTTGCTGAGACTCCCAACTTAACAGCAATGCTGCCACAGCAATTGAAATGTTTGACTCCCACAGCAAAGCCTGGCCTCTTCACGCTCTGTCTATAAAGGAAAAGTGTAGGATAATGAGATTTCAACTAAGTCAGTAAATCACTAAAATGTTTTGAAGTAGGAGATTTCCGTCTTGACAGGCTGATGCATTTGGAAAATATGCCACAAAATATAAAGCAGATACTGTAGGGTAAAAAGAATGAAATCTTTAAAACTGCAAGTTTTGTTAATTTTTTCCCCCCTTTGAGTCTTTTCTGCGTCTGCAGAGCTTTTGGTATTCCCTACTTCCCAGTTTAGAAGTGCAAAGTATTCATAATGGAAACAAGTATTACAGTAGGATTTCTGATGGGAAGGGACTATTTTGTTTTGTTTTTTAAAAACCAAGGCACTTCTATTTCACACATATTTCACAATGTTATCTTCTCTGGAAATAGCTGAAACGACAATGTATTATGTAGATGCATTCTTACATGTTAATTACAAACCCTACAGGTTCTTGTTTTTCTATCTGTGCTGCCCAGCCTGTCTCTGCGCAATCTGTTTTTATCAAGTGTCCTGTGTTCCACATTGTCATCCTTCCTGCTGCTGCTTCTCGCTTCCTTGTTCCTGACCCTCTGTCACTGGCTTTTTATTCCTGGGACAATCCCCTTTTTCAGAAAGCCCCCTCTTTTTAACCTGACAGCATTAGCCTCCCTCACCTCCTCCTGTTCACAAAAAGATGTTTTGGTAGTGTTTGTCAAAGTTGAATTGTAAGCTCCTTGGGGCAGGCCTGTGTCATCTTTTCTGTGTTTGTAAGGTGATGTGCACTCTTGAAGTACTATCTAAAAATAAATGTGGTATTAAGTTAATCATTTGTTTTCCTTTTGAGGCTGAACGTAATAAAGGTATTGCTTGGTTCCTAATGAGACTACGTAATCATGAATGTTTGACATAGTTTTATCTGCCAAATGGCATGATGCTTGTGGAATGTTTACTTGACTTTTTCTTCTCTGGGTTAGGATCTAACAGCCAGATGTCAATTAATCTCTATTGGAGAAAAAAAAATTAAAATATATGTGAAAAACCAAACAAACAAAACCACAACGTAGACAGCAGGTTGAGAAAGAGATCAAGCTCAGTTACACAGGGTGAACTGGTATCAAATAGTGCAAGATGAACAACTGTGCCCTTAGATGGGAACGCTACAGAAGAGATGCAGGGTGTCAGTAGGAAAGCTGTGCATCTCAGTTATCCGTGCTTGAGCCTGGTGATGCTAAGTATATGGCGTTTATTTTTCCAATCAAATAAAGACAATCCTTGCTCTGTGACTCCAGTGACAAAGTATTAAAACTAGGGCTCTTTAGCGGTTTATTGAGTACAGGTCATCAAAAGGGCTTTTTGCAATTGTCTTCTAATAAATATCTGGGATTATTCTTAATGCCCAGTGCAGCTCGGGTGGCTGCTGCTCGGAAGTAGTACTGGAAATGAAAAACGACTTGAAAACGCCGTAAATCGTGACCTGCTGTCAAGATGGAGCCCCATTCCCAGAAGACACGCTTACCCTATCTGACTGCAGCTTGACTTATCCCCTAGCTATCTGCGTTAATGCCCACGTCGTTTGTCAGCCCTCCTCCCCACCCTCCAAAAAGAGGGGGGGACACCTTTTAGTCACTGACCAA